GCCCCGACCACTTTATTTCGGCACCGCACCCCCCCCCGCTCCGCCCCCTCCCCCGCGCCGTCTCAGCGCCCCCCCGCGGCTCCAGCGCCCGCCCAGTGCCCCCTCCGCCTCGACCACTTTATTTCGGCACCGCACCCCCCCCCCGCTCCGCCCCCTCCCCCGCGCCGTCTCAGCGCCCCCCCGCGGCTCCAGCGCCCGCCCAGTGCCCCCTCCGCCCCGACCACTTTATTTCGGCACCGCACCCCCCCTCCCCGCTCCGCCCCCTCCCCCGCGCCGTCTCAGCGCCCCCCGCGCGGCTCCAGCGCCCGCCCAGTGCCCCCTCCGCCCCGACCACTTTATTTCGGCACCGCACCCCCCCCCGCTCCCCCCCCTCCCCGCGCCGTCTCAGCGCCCCCCGCGGCTCCAGCGCCCGTCCAGTGCCCCCTCCGCCCCGACCACTTTATTTCGGCACCGCCCCCCCCCGCTCCGCCCCCTCCCCCGCGCCGTCTCAGCGCCCCCCCCGCGGCTCCAGCGCCCGCCCAGTGCCCCCTCCGCCTCGACCACTTTATTTCGGCACCGCACCCCCCCCCGCTCCGCCCCCTCCCCCGCGCCGTCTCAGCGCCCCCGCGCGGCTCCAGCGCCCGCCCAGTGCCCCCTCCGCCCTCGGCCACTTTATTTCGGCACCGCACCCCCCCCCGCTCCGCCCCCTCCCCCGCGCCGTCTCAGCGCCCCCCCGCGGCTCCAGCGCCCGCCCAGTGCCCCCTCCGCCCCGACCACTTATTTCGGCACCGCACCCCCCCCCCGCTCCGCCCCCTCCCCCGCGCCGTCTCAGCGCCCCCCCGCGGCTCCAGCGCCCGCCCAGTGCCCCCTCCGCTTCGACCACTTTATTTCGGCACCGCACCCCCCCCCGCTCCGCCCCCTCCCCGCGCCGTCTCAGCGCCCCCCCGCGGCTCCAGCGCCCGCCCAGTGCCCCCTCCGCCCCGACCACTTTATTTCGGCACCGCGCCCCCCCCCCCGCTCCGCCCCCTCCCCCGCGCCGTCTCAGCGCCCCCCCGCGGCTCCAGCGCCCGCCCAGTGCCCCCTCCGCCCCGACCACTTTATTTCGGCACCGCACCCCCCCCCCGCTCCGCCCCCTCCCCCGCGCCGTCTCAGCGCCCCCCCGCGGCTCCAGCGCCCGCCCAGCGCCCCCTCCGCCCGACCACTTTATTTCGGCACCGCACCCCCATCCCCCGCTCCGCCCCCTCCCCCGCGCCGTTCAGCGCCCCCTCCCGCTCCAGCGCCCGCCCAGTGCCCCCTCCCCCGACCATTTTATTTCGGCACCGCACCCCCCCTCCCCGCTCCGCCTCCTCCCCCGCGCCGTCTCAGCGCACCCCCCGCGGTTCCAGCGCCCGCCCAGCGCCCCCTCCGCCCCGACCACTTTATTTCGGCACCGCCCCCCCCCCCCCCCCCCCCTCCCCCCGCACCGCCGCCTCCCCCGCACCGTCTGAGCGCTCCCCCGCGGCTCGAGCGCCCGCCAGTGCCCCCCTCCGCCCCGACAACCCCCCCCCATCTTCCGCCCCCTCCCCCACGCGTCTCAGCGCCCCCCACGGTTCCAGCGCTCGCCCAGCGCCCCCTCCGCCCCGCCCACTTTATTTCGGCACCGCAGCCCCTCCCTGCGCCGCCCCTTCTCGGACACCGTCTCAGCGCCCCCACGGTTCCAGCGCCCGCCCAGTGCCCCGCGGCCCCCCCTTCCTTTTTGCGCAAGAGCCATGGCACACGTGCCACTTGTTTGTGTGCTCCAGGGCCCCTTCAACCCTGCCCTGCCCCGGGCGGGCCGCCCGCGCCGCCGCCCGGCTCGCACAGACAACAGGCAGCCTATACGCCTCCCGCGCTCCGGCCGCGCGCGCCCCGCCTCCCTTTGCCCCTGCGGGGCGGAGGTCCTCGTTCCGGACCTGGCTCAGCTCGCGCACTCGGGGTGGACCTGCCCCTCTTTCTCTGACCTTCCAGAGAGCTATTTTTAGCGCTGGAGGCCTAAAAACCTAAACAACTGAGCGAAACAGCCCTAAACCAAGACGTAGAATAGCTTTGGGATAGGTTTCACGTCCGGTGTTATTTTTTAGCCCTCCTGGAAAGTCAGGGTTGCGAAGGGGTGCGCGTTCGCGCCGGGCAACTCGCGCCGCCGTCCCTCCTTGCGTCCTGCGATCCGCCGTCTTGTCTATGGGACGCCGCAGCAGCTGCGGGCCTGCACACCTCATGCGCCGAGAGCATTGGGGCGGCAACCTTGGCCACCCCGCCAGCCCCCTCCCCGGAGATCCAACGTGTTGAATGAAAAAAACCCAGGCGGAGGTTTTTCGTAATGTTCGGCCTCTGGAGCCGCTCTCCCCTGGCGCCGTCGCGCCTGGCCGGGGGCCGCCGCGTCGGGTCCCGTCGAGTGGCCCTCGGTGAGATCACGCGCCGTGGTGTTGCTGCCTCGGCCGGCGGTCCTGCCCTGGCCGCCCTGGTGTCCAGGGCTCCTCTCTGCGGGCTGTCGCCGCGCCCGCGCGCGCTCGCGGCTCCACCTGTTGCAGCTGCCGCGCCGGATCCTCAGGGCCGCGTCCTGCGTCGAGCGCGCGCGCGCCCCGCCCCGCGGGCCCTGCTCGGCGGCCTTGCCCTGAGCCGCGCCCGCGGCGGGCCCCGCCGCCTCGCCCGCGGTCGTCGCCGCCCCCCCCTCCCCTTGGGTGGCCGCCGCCGCCCGCGGCGGATGTTCGCCGCCCGCCTCCGCTCCGCCGCCCCCTGCTCCTCCGCGCTCCTGCGGCAGCCGCGCCCCGGATCCCCAGAGGTGGCCCTCTGCGTGGGCCGGCCGCGCCCTCCGTTCCCTTCCTTTATCCGCACAGGCTGGGAACCTGCAAGCCGCAAGTTGGCCGCGGCCGTTTTGGAGCTGTCTGCGTTCACATCGCCCCGAGCCCCCCGTCGAATCACCCGGCGACTCCGAGTGTGGAACGCGAAACGCACCGTGGCACGCGGGGGGCACACGTAAGATGTAAGATCGACCCCGCCCTCGGCCTCCGCATCGTATGAACGCCTTTCTGCGACCCCCCCCCGAAAAGTACGGCGGCGACCCAGACCCTGGCGCATTCCTTATTGTTCCAAGGCGAGGTGGGTGGCCCGCGTTTGGCCGCTCATCGGTCGCGAGACCCTGGGTTCCTTATCGAAGCCATCCTTCTCAATTCCTCCACCGTAATGGAGCCGTCTTCCGCTTTCTCACCCCCCTTCCCCGATCCCCGATCGCAATGCTGAGTCCGCCGCGGCCGACGGCGGGAAGTATCGGATCGCGCGGCACCCCGCGCGAACATTGACATCGCGGGGCGCGGGGCGCGGGGCGGCGGACCGCGCGCGAGAGGTGCAGACACACTTGTGCCAGGCTCTGCAGACGTAACCCGGGTGGTGCCGAGGCGGGCGCAGGCCTAACATCCTGGCAGCGGTGATCGAGTTTCGAGAGTAATTCCAGGTCGGGCCTGTCCCCCCACAGAGGGGTTTTCGACGAAAGCTAAAAAATACCCCAAACATGCTTCAAAATGACACAAACATTTTTTTATAAATAGTCCCCAGACTATTTCCCTACCTAGGCTCTGCCTAGGAGGGTTCTTACTTTCTTGGCTTAAAGGGGCCGGGCAGTGTAAACCGCCCCGGGCGGTTCCCCTAGTCCCTGGGAGCCAGGCAAAAGCAACAGCAAAGGTAAAAGCAAACGCGCGGTTCCCCCAGTTGCGCTCCCTGGGTGCCTAGCACAAGCACAGGCAAAAGTGAAGGCAAAAGCGAAGGCAAAGCAACATCATAGCATAGCTTAGCTTAGCTTAGCATAGCATAGCATAGCATAGCATAGCATAGCGCAGCCTAGCATAGCGCAGCATAGCATAGCCTAGCCTAGTCTAGCCAAACATAACAATGCGCAGCATAGCATAGCATAGCATAGCATATCATAGCATAGCATAGCATAGCATAGCGCAGCACAGCATCCACTATTGCTGCTGCTGGTGCTGATAATATATATAAATATATATATATATATATAATATATATATATTGGAGCCTCTAAAAGGCTTTCATAGAGGCTCCTACTGATACTGCTTTCCTAGAGGCTCCAACTCCTAGGTCGGGTCGCACTGGGATAATGTTGGATTATGTTTGGGGTATTTTTCATTTTTCGTCGAAAATTACACTGTAGAGGGACAGGCCCGACTTAAGAGTGATAATCACCTCTCACAGGCGTCCCAGAGGGGGGCCGAGGAGAGATGGGGTCGGAGGATCGCGCCGCGTCGCCCCGTGCCTCGGCGATGCGGCTCGACGTAGAGAGCCCGCGTCTCTTCGTGCCGACGGCGCCGATGCATCATCGCCAACGTCGCCGATGCACCGCCGATGCATGGGCGGTGTGGCGCGCTCTTCCGACCCCACCCAGAGTCGCTCGGACCCCATCTCAGCGGCGAGCGGAGGCGGGGGGACATGAGAAGGAGAAGGCCTCCTCGGACGGCCGCGGGACTTCTCAGAAACCCTCGCGCGCCTTCCGAGAAAAGTTGTTTGCTTGTGCGTCTTCGGGGGATCGGGCCCAGGAAGCTTCTCGGACGGCCCGGGGATCCGAGAGCCTTCTCGGAAGGCCTCCTTCATTCGGCTAGACGTAAGAGTGACCTTTCGCCGGAGTGACCTCTGGTGCGGGCCCAAATTGGTCCCCCCCCCAATCGCCGACCGCGCTGCGACATAAGCCGCTTGCGCGCTTGGGTTTGGCTCCCCCGCGCCCCCCTGATTACCGCGCGCCAAAGGGCACTCTTACCCAGGGTCGCTCTTGCGTGTAGTCGATTCATCTCTCAGGGGGGGGGAAAACACACAGACACAATTAATCGTCGACTCCCAGGAAAATGTGCAAAAATATGGGAAGTGGGGGGGAAGACAAAAACCCAGAAAATATGTGAAAATATTGGGAATATTTCTATTTGTGTGTATTTATTTGTGTGTTTGTGGGCCCCTTCAATCTCCCTCCCCCCCCTTTGCTCGCCGCCGACCATGCAGGAGGCCGTTCCTGCCCGCCGAGCGCGACGCGCCCGGCCCGCCGAGCCGTGGTCCGACCAAGGGGGGCGCGGCAGCGCTGCGCCCTCCCCGGGGGGACAGTGGGCGCCTCCTGCCTGCCGCTGGTGCTCGCCCGCCTCGCGGGCCTCCTCGTGAGCACGAGCACCGCCGTCCTTCGCCGTCCGCCGGGCCTCTGCCACCCCCGCCGGCGGCGGGAGGGCCTCGGCCGAGCAGGCTCTTCTTCTTGGGTGGGGGGGCCAAAGAGGGAACTCTGAGGTGCCGCTCCGATGGGCTTGCGAGGCGTGCATCTGCAAGAGGTGCAATCACACGACGGATCGATTTTCGAGGTGGAAATGCCCGCATGGATTTCACCCTCCCCCTCCTCCTCCTCCTCCTCCTCCTCCTCCTCCTCCTCCTCCCCCTCCTCCTCTTCCTCCTCCTCTTCCAGCCGCCGCTCTGGCGCGAAGAGAGCGAGGGGCGGCCCGCACGCGGCAGGCGAGGTAGACCTGCCGTGGCGCCACGCGGGCATCGCGATGGCGCGGTCCGTGGGCCAGTGGATCTTGAGGGCGCTCGGGTACAACCCGATGTTCGCTTCGGGCACGAGGTTGCATGACATCGCCAGCAGTTGTGGCAACATGGACGTGGTGATGCTGGTGGGGACACAGTCTTCACACCGACGAGTTGATGAATTCTTGTATCGGAAGATTGGTAATAGATTGGCTCTGGAGGCTGAGGCAGGTACAGGAGAATACACCAACAATTCCACGGGTTGCGCGATCATGTTAGGGCGCAAGTACAAGGAGCAGAACATCTGCCAGACTTGGGCAAGCCCCACCGGTGCAGCTGGAAGGGCTTTGGCGGCGAGGATACGTCGAGGTCCTCTCGACATGGCGATTTTCGTCATGCATTTCCCTCCTCAGCCTCGCCATGCTCGACAGGTATCTCATTATAAAGCGACGGTGCACCTCCTGACACAATGGCATGAGCGCATTTTGCAGCAGTTACCATGCAGGTGCATCCCACTGGTCTACACGGATTTGAATGATGGAGTTGGACTAAGTAGAATTTCAGGCCAATGGCAGCAGGTGGAGTCTACGTCGCTGGGACCAGGACGAGCACGGGAGCAACGGCGCGGAGGGGCTGGTGAAGCGATTCGGCTGGTGAACGAGCGCCAGCACATGTTTGTGATGAGTTCTCGCAGTAAGATTTTGGAACATACGTACTATGGACACAAAGGGCACAGCAGTTGCATTGATTATCTATTCCTGCCTGATGGAATGCTGGACATGGCGCCGAGATTTTCTCCACTCTTCGGATTGGGGGCTAAGTTGCAGGCCTTCAAAGGGGCCACACCGAAAGATCACGTACCGATCTATATTGCATTCATGGCATGCAGGCGTTTACGGCCACGGAGTCGCCCTCCTCGTTGGGTAAGATGAGGTGGAACTATGATGACTTGATGAAGTGTTTGAGGACGGGACATCGCAGAGTTGAGTTTCTTGAAGCTGTGGAAGCTAGCCTTTCGGAGAATGAGGACACCTGGAGGGCGCTGCTCAACCGCGGAAGGCCAGACGAAATATTCCGTCATCTTGATACCACCCTGGTGAGTGCAGGGCAGCGGCTGTTTGGACATATATCAAACGATTATACGTATAGGCAAGCAGCAGCTGAGATATCAGAACTTCTGAAGGAGAGAGTTCGACTCAGGCGGTCCAGAAGTCACAGGAATGCAGATTCCACGGAGCTGAAGGACTGCGAGCAGAAGCTGAAGGATCTCAGCCGAAGGTTACGACGGCAGCGACAGAAATACGATCGGGAACGGAAAGAAGCCCTCCTGGACGATATAGACGAGGCGTGGCAGGCCAGAAGAACGGCGGAAGCAATGTGCCTGTCTCGACAGGCGGCGAGGTGCCGCTTCGGCCCCAAGAGACGCGATGGGCGCCTTCTGCGAGGCGGCTACTTCACGGAGGAGGAGTTGACCGACTACTGGGGCCTGAAGGGCTGCGAGGAGGGCACGTCGGCGCGCAAGATAGATTGCGATGAATGGCTGGCTTCTTCGCCCCCAGGGGCCAATGTACGTGTATCGGAGGAAGATTGCTGGCTGGCTCAAAAAGATCAGTGGGTAATCACGAAGTACTTCCGTTCTCCCAGCAAAAGAAAAGTGGTGTCATCAGGAACCCCACCAGCGATAGTTTGGCCTGCGCTTTTGGACCCCATCGGCGAATGTCGACAACAAGGGCATGGGCGTAGGCTGCCGCCAGGAGGTTCCAGACGCGAAGCTGTTTGGGAAGATACTTGAGGGAGGTCCAAGGCTTATTCGGGCCGCGAATCGTACCCCGCTACGGTGGCATGTTAGCTCTGGGGCGCAGCTTCGAAAAAATGCAAAACCTGGCCCTATGGGCCGAAGGATGGCCCATGCACTCCCGACTATTGGAAAACCGTTCTATCCTGGCCTCCTCCGAGTACCTCCCACGACTATGGAGCGCGGATTTTGTGCAGGTAGACGCCGGGAAGGTGCGATCTGAGTAGCGCAGCTCTTGGGGTGGCGCCTCAAAAGGGCAGGATCTTCTTTCGCGTTCACGCAGAGAGGAAATGTCGAACGCTTTCGCTGGTGGCGCGCGGGAGAAACTCGAGCAATCAGAGGAGCTTCATGCTGGGCCTCAGGATGTTGATTTGCGTGTTCAACGTTTTCGATGTAGCGTTATTTGGTTGGAATATTTGCAAGGAGGGTCGCGCGTCAAGACGGGGGGGGCGGGGCGATGGGGGGCCCTTTCGTCGTGGAACTTTTTCAGGGGAACCTTCTCGAGACCGATTCTGCAGCGGCTTCACCGCTTGCGGGAGTTTGACACGTCCTCGACGGGCTTGTTGGCCAGCTGGCGGGACCTCAGCGCGAAAGTAGGGGGCGCCTCTATGCCGGCGACATTTTTCGAGCTCATTTGCCACCCCGCTCAGTACAGTGGGGCATTTTTCTCGGGCCATAAAGAAGGCTGATGCGATTTCATCGGAAGAGCTGCAGGATATTGGCTTTTTTTCCCAAACCACATCCAGGCAGGAGATTCAGCTTTGTTTTCAAGGACCAGGGGCGATACAGCGCAGGCAGTGGGCGAGGGGCAGGGGTCGCAAACAACTTGCAGGACAGCTTCAGGAAGACGCTCGATACCTGGGGCCAACAATATGCTACTCTCTGCGACGGTGGAGGTCCGCGGGCGAATTCTTTACGCTTCGCGCATCCCCACCGGCCCATCTCACAGCAGCAACTCTTGCGAAGCATGCCGACAGTCGCGTTTTTTCAGGCGCGCGTCCGTTTGGCCCCGCATATCTCCCCTGTTCCTCCTTCCCCCCGCCCCCTTGCACGCCCTCCTTGTGGGGGGGGGGGGCGGGGGAAGGGCGAGGCGGAGGAGGGGGGGGAGAAAGCGCTCCTCGTGATTTGAGTCGTTCGGGGTTTGTCGTCCTGGTGTGATTCGTTCGGGCCCTTCTTCCTGGTGTGAGTCGTTCGGGCTCTTCGTGGTGTGAGTCGTTCGGGCTCTTCGTCCTGGTGCGAGTCGTTCGGGCTTCTCGTGGCGTGAGTTGTTCGGGCCCCTCATCCTGGTGTGAGTCGTTCGGGCCCCTCCTCCTGGTGTGACTCCTTCCCCAAGTGGCCCCATAGAGTAGATTAAATTGGCCACTTGTTGTTGCGATGCATGTTTCACTCCTTGCCCCATTGGCCCCGCCCTCGTTGTAGCAGCGTTGTGGCGGCTATCGCTCGAAGACATGCAGGCGCGCCAGAGATAATGCGGGTGTTCGCGTCTGTGTGCGTTGCAGATATGTGAGTCGTTCCAGCTCTTCGTGGTATGAGTCGTTGGGGCCCCTCGCCCTTCCTTGTGCAACTCCTTCGGGCCCCTCATTGTGTGTACGTCGTTCGGGCTCCTCGTGGTGTGAGTCCCCTCCTTGTGTGTGAGTCGTTCGGTCCCCTCCTCCTGGTGTAACTCGTTCGGGCTCCTCGTGGTGCGAGTCGTTCGGGGCCCGCGTCGTGGTGTGCGTTCGGGCTCCTCGTGGTGTGAGTCGTTCGGGCGCCTCTCTTGGTGTGAGGCGTTCGGGCCCTTCCTTGTGGTGTGACTCGTTCGGGCCCCTCGTGGTGTGAGTCGTTGGGGTCTGTCGTCCTGGTGTGAGTCGTTCGGGCTCCTCGTTGGGCCTGTTGGGGGCCTCTTGGAGCTCTTGGGGCGTCTGGGGGGCCTCTTGGGGGCCTCTTGGGGGCGTCTTGGTGGCCTCTTGGAGCCTCTTGGGGCCTCTTGGGGGCCTCTTGGGAGCCTCGAGGGGACCTCTAGGGGCCTCTTGGGGGCCTCCTGGAGGCCTCTTGGGAGCCTCCTGGGGGCCTCTTGGGGCTATCTTGGGGTCTCTTGCGACCTCCTCAGAAGCGCTAATAAGCGCTGGCCCCTGGGAAGGACAAAATCAGCCCAGAACCTTCGTAACATCCATGGTTTGGCGAAGAAGGAAGAGGAACGCGGCCCCCTCAGAAGGCCAACATGGGGCCAACACCGTAGTAAAATCAATGGTTGTTACTTCAGCTGCGAGTTCAGGCGCGCCGAACTCCCCCCCCCCCCCCCCCCCCCATCGGGGCCAGAATCCTCGTGAGGGTCGTCGTGGTTTGGCCCTCCCAGGAGTCGAAAAAGACCCCTCCAACCACCCGCGGCGCCCCCTCTCCAGGTCCAGGGGGAGGGGGTAGGGGGGGGGGTACCCCCCCTCCCCGAAGGGGAAGAAGGGGGGTTGAGGGGTTGAGGACAGAGAAAGCTCGCTAAACCACTCACGCCCAAAGGGCTGGTGGGATGCAGGCTACGGCAGATGCGTACTACGCGCTGGGACAGGCGTGGCCCCTTGCACTGCCGTTCCGCTGGAAGCGGACCTTGTTTCTCAGTTTTGCGCAGCATGCGGCCTTGGCGGGCCTGGAGCCAATGCTGCTGACGCCCCGTCATGTTCGCGAGCTCGACTCGCTTCTGCTAGGTGCGGGAGGAGGGCTCTCCAGGACAAGGCGGTCACGAAGGTGGGAGATCGAATTCGCTCGTGGTCCAACAAAAGGGCAATGCAGCATTGGCGGCTAGCTAGTTGTGAGACGGAGCTGCTCGTGCGACGCCTCGGATGGCATCGGAGTTGGGCTAGTTCTCCAACAACTCATGTTCAGGAGTTATGCTTATTGTTCGGGGCGGGGCGGATCGACGCGGGTGGGGCCCCGTTGTCAGGAGATGTGGTCCATCCCACACTTGCGTCGCTGTGGCTTCAGCAGTTGCGCGCAGATTTTCAACGAGCGTCTGAGCTACTGGGCGAAGGCGAGGTTTGCTCGCGCTTCGCATGTTGCCCTGGCGATATTGTGAACAAAGAGATTCGGGAATTCTGGATGAGAGTAGATTTCTCGGAGGTCCGTGCACGGGAGCTTTCGGCGGTTATTCCCCCTTCGGACGATCTCGAGGAGGGCTTGGAAGACACCCGCGAGGAGCCCCTGGATCACCCGTTGAAGTGCGATTGGACGGGGGAGGAGGGCGTGGGATGTGGAAGGGAGTTCCAAACGAAACGAAACCTTATGAATAAGATGCGTCGTATCCATAAAGTACACAACCCATGTTCGACGGTGACCCCTACAAACACGCGCATTGCATGTGGAAGGGTTTTCGCTAGCCAGCCTAACGCCTACAAGCAGCTCCAGAGGGCCCTCTTGAGTGGAAAATGCCCGGCTCGTGGTTCTTCAACGCTCCTGGAATTGATTCCACCAACTACCTTGGAACGTGGGGTCTGCGGTTACTATGCAAGTGGTGTTGTTGATCTTTGTAGCCATCTGGGTTCTAGCCACCTGCCGAATTCGGTGGATCCATCTTTGAGTTCCTATCTACGTGAATCAGACTTTCGTGCGGTAACTTCACATGGGGTCGCAGGCGGAGGGGGCGCCCCCGAAGCCGATGTGGATGGCGGACCAGTCATCGGCCCCCGCGGCCAAGCACAGGCGCACTGTGCGCGACGAGGCCAAGGCAGCAACAAAAGGAGGCAACGCTCTTCACAAACTGGTGGTGATAATCGCCAAGCTCGTCCTGACCGACAGCCGCGCGTTGGCGGAGCTGAGCAGTACGGTCTACCGCGCGCGCGACGTCAGCGCAGACAGCGGCTTCGCGGCGATGAACGAGACGGCAGGGCAGGACTACGACGAGCTCTCGCAGGAGCTAAAGAAAAAACAAAAAGATAGAGGACACGTGGACCTCAAGTCACGCGGACCACCTTTCGTGACTGTGTTCATGACAGCGATGCATTGGGGGGCTACGCTACACGGCAAAGAGGGAGTGCAGCAGGAGAAGTGGACGCAGCCGCTGAAGGATTTCTGGACAGAGAAGCTGGCGACGATAACGGTGCAGCAAGTGGGGGAGCTGGTGCTTCACTGGCAGTGGAAGAAGAACAAAGTCAAGACGGACGAGAACTCGCGTGGCAGGCTGATCTACGCGATCGACCACTCCCACACCCTCGGCCCCGCCATCACCACGATCATCGAGTCCACCCTGGGAGCCGAGCGGAAGATCGGCCCCGCGCCGAGGGCCCCCCCCTCGAGAGGGACACATCGCGCCTCCTTGCGGGGTTGGGCGGGAAGCAGTGAGTAGAATGCGAAGCGGAGCCGTCCTAGGAGGAAACAGTAGTAGCAGCAGCAGTCAGCCTTTACAGTCTTGAGCCCCGCCTCCAGGTCTGGACCCACGCGGTGTCATTAACTTGGACCTGATGCGGGGCAGCGCAAGGTTGGCGGAATTAATTCATAGGGGTGCAGTTTCTTCTGAAAATTTGAGCCCTCGGCCCCCACCCCTACCCAATGCCTATGGCTCAGGAGTGTCCAATACCCCGACTATTCAGAGAGAGGGGAGGCCTTCTAGCGCGAAGGGCTCGGGAAAGGGCAGGAAGGGCAAGGGTCGTCGGTAGTTCATAATATCACTGGTCCCCACTGGCGGGCCCCCTGTAGGCTGCGTGCCGTCCTGGGGGTGCTCGTAGGGGCGGTGCGGCGTCCGTCGTGAGCCACGGGCCGCATCAGACGGTTTGGCGAGTTCTCGATTCGCCCTCCAGAGTTTCCCCTTTTGTTGCATAGGTAGGCTGTCGCCTGCAGGTGCTTCGAGGTAGCAGACGGACTCCCACGGGCCCGATCCCGATCCCGATCCCGATCCTCCTCCTCCTCTTCCTCCTCCTCCTCCTCCTCCTCCTCCTCCTCCTCCTCCTCCTCCTCCTCCTCCTTCCCCTCCTCTTAAGAAAATGCTCAGATCGAGAGGGTGCGGGGTCCCCCAGGGCGTTAATTTTGGTATTGCGCCGTCGGCGACGGACAAAAAACGGAATCGTTTGCTTGCGCCGACATTGGCGCGTAAGCTACCCACGCAAGCTCACGCGCAAGTGTCCTCGCTTCCGATATCGCGTGCCGCGCCGGCGGCCCGCGTCAGCCACCGCATAAGGTCGCTACGCCATCTCGCGTAAGACCCCTTTCTTTTCGTCGCCCGCGTGACGTGGTCAGCCCTGGGCGCGAGTTCGGTCGTATGTGCGTCGAACGCTCGGCCCTTGTGTGGCCCGGTATGGTCGCCTTCCTCGTGTGAATCCAGCGCGCGGGTTTTGCATGTCTCACACGTGACTCCATTCCTGCGTGTTCGGGCGGCCTCTGAGGGCGCAGCAGGCCGAGCCGCGAGGTGAAGGACGCGCTGCCTTCCGTTCGTGTAGTGGTGCGAGGATCGCACAGTGTCAAGAAACTCCAGATGACCGCCCTGCTCGCCCTACCGACACGCCTCATGGCGCGACGAGGGGATGCTTGAACAGGAGAGGGATGGAGGAGCAGCAGCTTGGTGAGGATGAGGAGCAGGAGGACAACGAGAAGGATTACGATCAGGAGGGAGGGGGGAGACGGGAAGGAGGAGGAGGAGGAATTTGCAGAGGTAGAGGAGGGGCACCATGACCAGCATGTGGCACAGGAGGGAGGTCGGAGAAGACTAGCTCCGGGGATGGTGGCAAAGACGACGACTGCTTCGGAGGATGCGGTGAAGAAGGATGCAGGAGGAGGAGGAGGAGGAGGAGGAGGAGGAGGAGGAGGAGGAGGAGATGGAGATGGAGATGGAGGATGCAGAGGGGGAGGTGGAGGAGGACGAGCCCTCTGGAGGGCTGCCTGGGCATAGGAGGGCGGCACGGCGGGGCCTCGGGAGGCAGATCGCCGCAGGCCGCCCGCGCAGGGAGGGGGCCTTTATTTTTTTGGGGGGGAGGTCGGCTTGGGACTCCTCGTGGCGTCGAGACTGTGCTCGGACACTGGAACATATACACTACCAGTGGCGGGCTGTTTTTCGATCCCAGGACTTCTTGAGGGTCGAGGACGGCGCTGGGGTGGTGCGGTGCATGCCTTCTTTCCCCGACGTCCCGGGGAAGCAACGAGGCATGTATGCACCAGGGTCTCGCATACACCAGGAGCCGCTCTCCAGTGCAAATGCCAATGCAGGTCCGGAAGAAGCGTCGGTGTACAGAGTTCGACCCCCTGCATGCCGAGCGAGGGGGGAGGGCGGGAGCGGGAGCAGGATGAGGAGGGCGAGGCGGCGGAGGAGGAGTGGCGAGTGTTGCAGGGCAGGACTCGTTGCGCATTAAGACATAGAGGGCACAGAGGCTGGGGAGGAAGGGGCGAAGGAGAGCCTAGAACGAGGGCGATGATGCTGTGGAGGGCGATGAGAGGGGGACACGCGCATGTCAAAGGCGTTTTTGGGGGAACGGTTCCATAAGCATGGTTGTCGAGGGAAGGACGGATGAGGGAGGGCGAGACGGTGGGAGGGATAGACATGTTCATAAGCTATGCTTGAATTCATGCTTACGCACACATATAGAGGCAGAGAGAGAGGGGGAGGGAGGGCGAGAATGATGGGGAGGGAAAGAAGGCGGTAGAGAGGGAGGGAGGACTGGGGCGGAGGAAGGGAAGAAGGGAGGGACAGGAGGGCGAGGGGGGACGGAAGGATAGCGGGAGAAGAGGGTAGGACAGAGGGAGAGGATAGAGACAGGAAGGAAGCAGGTGCATGGATTCTCCCAGATTTGTTTCCCACGCAGCGGGCGCCAGGGATGCCTCAGCGGCCGCGCCTGCTTCGTCCGGGGAGGCCTTTCTGCTTGGGACAGGGCCATTACTGCTTGCGTTGTCATCGCTGTGGCAGGCAGATGTCGCGACCGTTGGCGTCCCACTGCCGCCGCCGCTGCCGCCGCTGTGGCCACGGACACGAGTTCACAAGCTGACCTTGAGCGCCGCCGACGCGATCGTTGTTGCACCGCCGACACGTTGGCCCAGGGGCAAATCGTCGAGCTGACCAATCACTACACAAGTTGGTTGTCACAACGCGCTGAACGCTCTCAGTGCAGAGAGGTGCACCAACATTGCCTCTCTGCTGTACATAGCTTCCAGACGACAGAGAGCACAATAATGTGCTCCACTGACAGAAGACGGGCGCTCGATGCTTTGCTCCTTGAGGTCGAGGCCCTCGCCACTGTCGTGGATTCTGCAGCGGTCGCCACGCGACGAGGAGGAGGAGGAGGAGGAGGAGGGAGGAGGAGGAGGAGGAGGAGAGGAGACGGAGGAGGAGGAGGAGGAGGAGGAGGAGGAGGAGGAGGAGGAGGAGGAGGAGGGGGAGGTGGAGGAGGAGGAGGAGAGGGAGGGGGAGGGGGAGGGGGAGTCTCCATTCGTGCTGTTGGCGGGGGTCTCGCCGTCTGCCTTCGCAACCCCCACGGGCCGGAGCTGGTGGCCGCGCACACCCGTCAGGGAGGCCACGCTCCAGCGCTTCCTTCGGATTCGCTGTGGTACGGCCAGGCCCTGCCTAAGCTTTCCCTCCTCGTCGTCCTCGTCCTGATCGTCTTCCTGCGGAGATTTCTGCGCGCGGGGAAGAAGGGATCTCTCCAGGGATTGAGTTCCGGGCGGGTCGGCCTAATTCTTGGCCTCGCGCTGCCCACTGCACTCTTGCGAAGATTTCTACACCATGTAAGCAGAGACAGCATGCATTCTAGCAGCGGGCACATCGCAAGCCGTCGTCGCCACTTGGCCCAGTGAGGGCTTGCACTATTTGTTGGCACATTGGCTGTTTGCTAGCAGTGCCGCTCGAATAGCGGCGCACCCTTCGCCTTGCGGGTTGTTCGTTTACGTTTTGGCATCATTTGCGCGTCGTTGCTTCCATAGCACCACCAAAACACATACAGTGGGAGCCCATGAACCGTCTGTAGCGTAAAAGCGAAGTCATTGCCTAGCGAAGGGCCATATAAAGGCACAACCTATGCAGCTGCGTGAAGCGCAGGGTGCGGGCGTATTGAGTCCCGTGTGTGGCCACGATCCTCCTGGGGTGTGTACCCAACTGGGCGCGGGCCAGCATGCGTCTGAGCCCACTGAGACCGCACACGAAGCTCCATTTAGGACAACGAGCTGCGTGAGTGGGGTCTCGAGATGAGCGCGGACCCACGTGGTGCGTTTTGGCCCACTGAGACCGCAGGTGGAGCTCCAACTGGGCCACGGTCTGCGTGAGGCATGTGCCGAAAAGGTCGTGGGGCCACATGCGTCTTCGCCCTCTCAGACCGCAGCGGGAGCTCCCTGTTGGGCGACGGTCTGCGTGAGGGGTGTTCCGATCAGGCCGCGGGGCCACTTGCGTCTACGCCCACTGAGACCGTAGGTGGGGCGCCCTGTCTGCGTGAGGGGTGCCGCAATGGTCGCGGGCACGGGTGCGTCTGCGCCCGCAGGGCCACGATTTGTGCGAGGCATGTGCCGAAATGGACGGAGGACCCGCGTGCGTCTGCGCCCACTGGGACGGTTGGTGGAACTCCCCATGTGGCGACGATCTGTGTGAGGGGTGTGCCGAGGGTCGAGGGGCCACATGCGTCTGCGCCCACAGATCGTAGGTGGAGCTCCCAATAAGACCACAGCCTGCGCGAGGAGTGTGCCGTCATGGACCAAGATCTGGGGCCACAGTCTGCATGAGAGGCATGCCGGAATGGGTGCGGACCCACATGCGCTTGTGCCCATTGGGACCGTAGGTGGGGCTCCCTGTCTGCGTGAGGGGTGTGCCGAAAAGTGCGGGCCCGCATGCGCTTGCGCCCAGTGAGCCTGTAGGGGGAGCTTCCCATGTGGCTACGATTTGCGCGAGGTATGTGCCGACGTGAGCGCGGGCTGGCATGCGCCTACTGAGACCGTAGGTGGAGCCCCCTACGGGGCCACGGCCTGCGTGAGTGGGGTGCCGACATGCGCGCGGGTCCGTATGCGTCTGCGCCCACTGGGACCGTTGGTGGAGCTCCCTATGGGACTACGTTCTGCGTATGGAGTGCGTCGGAATGGGCGTGGGCCCGCGTGCGTCTGCGCCCGCTGAGACTGCAGCTCCCCATGTGGCGACGATCCGCGCGAGGCGTATGCCGAAGTTTGCGCGGGTCCGCATGGGTCTGCGCCCGCTGAGACCGTAGGTGAAGGACGCTAGGAGGAGGTGAGGAGAGACGGTCTGGCGCGCGGAGCTGCGGATGCAAAAACGAGAACAGCACACTTCAGGAGGTTTGGACTGAATGATTGTAGTACCAGGGCCAGGGCAAGAGGAAACATCCCCAGCAAGCGCGCACATTACCGATGTGAGAGGTACGCATGCGTGTTGACTTGCTCGCGTCGGAGGGCACGAGCTTGATGAAAGACACTGGGCTATGATGCTGCTTCATAGCTTTGGACCAGATTCACTGGCCAGTCAGATCCTATACATCACGAGTGGAGGGACCAAGTCAGCGCTTGACTGCCACCCTCAAAGACTGGTTGAGACATTCAGCTTCGCGTGCATCATACAGGAAGTCAGCCATAATATTCAGACGCATTTGGGGATGGTGGCGATGGCACCAATGTCGCACGATTCGGCAAGTATGGGCCAAGCCATCGAACATGCCGGCATGTGTCGTTCTCGCGAGCGAACACGGATGATCGCTAGGGGGACCATTTCAACACCAGCAGCATGGATACATGCAGGAGCCCGTGATGAATCCCCCAGCTTCGCGCGCAGTACTTGCCTGGCATTTCTTGTAGGACGCTTGACTTGCCAGACATTGATTAGAACACGCAGCGCGACCAATAGCAGGCGTAGAGGTTGCAAACTATATGTGTATGTGTGTGTCACCACTGTTTCTTCTGCTGTTATATGTCATTCCATGTATGATCTTTCGTGCGCCGCCGCAGGTGATGTAGACGTGCTGTGCTATGTTGCGCTGTGGCATGCTATGAAACGCTGTGCCATGCAATGCCGAGCTGTGTTGCAATGCTATGGTGCTCCATGGTGCTTCATGCTACGCCATGCTTTTCTATGACCACTGTATGGTATGCTAGGCGATGGTTTGCAATGCGTTGCTGCGCACTGCTGTGCTGTGCTGTACTACGTTTTGCATTGCGTGGTACCTCAATGCGTTCCATTGGACCTGTACGCCTTCAGAAAGTACGTATCACCTAAAAGTACGGTCGCGCTGGGCGCCCTTCATATTCCGCGTGCCACGAATCACCCGTCACCCGACGACGGTGTTTTGTTCATTGTTCGCACCCCATCGGTGATCAATGATCGAAGGCCGCGGTGCCGAATCGTGCGATGGAGCGAAGAGGGGGGGGCGGTTGATTAGAGGCAGAGAGAGAGAGAGAAAAAAAAAAAAGACAGATAAGAGAGGTAGAGAAAAAGAGAGAGAGAGAGGGGAGAGAGGGAAAACAAGAGGGAGGGAGGAGGCAGGAGAGGGGAGGGAGAAGGGAGGAGGGAGAGGAAGGAGAGGGGATAGGGCAGAGAGGCATGAGGATGAGGGAAGAGAGGAGGGAGAGAGAAGGGAAGAGAGGAGGGAGGAGGGAGGAGGGAGAGGGAGGAGGAGCAGAAAGGTAAAAGCGTGAACGTTCGAGGAAGTCTTAGGCGAAAGCGCCGTTCCTGAAGGAAGTCTCGGGCGGGAGCCCACGACGGGCGGGCGATCCCCTGACGGGCGGGTCGGGCGGGTGGGACATTCAAGCGGGATGCCTGAGTAATGGCGAGAGCGCGGCTACTAAGTAAATTGTAACGGCGTCCTTGGCGCAGCGTGTTTCCTGTGCGTTGAAAGCGCGATTGATTTCTGAATACATTGCATGGAAGTCACAGGCGAGACCGCAATTCTTGAATAACATGTGAAGGGTTCTCTGGCGCGAGCGGGGGTCTGGATTAAAGTGCGAGGAAGTCTTGATTCAATTGCGAAGAAGTCTCAAGCGGGAGCGCCGTTCCTGAGTAAATTGTAAGGAAGTCTCAGATGAGAGATGGGGTCCTGACTAAATTGCGAGGAAGTCACAGGCGGGAGCACCGATCCTGAGTAAATTGGGAGGAAGTCTCAGGACGGGGTCCTGAGTAAATTTGGAGGAAGTCTCAGGCGGGAGCCGTTGTTGTTGTTGTTGTTGTTGTTGTTGTTGTTGTTGCTGTTGTTGTTGTTGTTGTTGCTGTTGTTGTTGTTGTTGTTGTTGTTGTTGTTGTTGTTGTTGTTGTTGTTATTGTTGTTGTTGTTGTAATCCGGGGGGCCAGGGGCCCAGTTTGAGCACCAATATTTTCCCTGTCAAAGAACAGGGTGCGAGCGTCGAGGGGCACACTTTGATTGAGAGACAACAGTATTCACCTGTGAGGGGGATCAACGATAATTATTTTTCAAAAATGAGAGTTCAACAACAATAACAACCACCACCAACAACCACAACAACAGCCACAACAACAACATCAACGCAACAAGCAGAATCTTCACCACGGATTCTCACTTCAGCCACGCACCCAGGGATAATGCATGACCGTTCGGCCCCCTCGCTCTGATGATAACGCTCCCCCACCGCAGTCCCATACCAAGCTGGCCACTATAGTGGTGGTAGAGGGTGCAGTGGATGCTGGAGAGCTTGCTGTGGCTTGTGGCGATGGCGAGGGCCATGGCGAGCATGGCCCGACCCGCAGGCGGCGCGGCCCCCGCTGGACCCCGAGGAGGTGCGCGACATGCAGCAGTCCTTCCGGCGCATGCAGGATAGAGGGGTGATGGCAGCGCCCGGGACTACAGGCTGACCTGCAGGGAGCAGAATGAGGAGGGATGCCCAGAGGTTGACAGCAACACCAAGATCGGCGGTGTGCTTCCACCGAGGGAAGACGGTCCCGATCTCGGCGATGGTGGTGATGTTCTGGCTTCCAAGGTGGCCGAATTATTACCACCAACACCGAAATCTAGGATCATCCTCCCCCTGCGGAGGCAACCCCTTGTGTTGGTGTTGGTGCCAATTTCTAGGCCTCCAAGGATGCGGAGGGAGGGGTCTGGGAAGGAGCCCCCCTCCCCAGGCTTCAGCCCGGACACGGATGCTCTCAGCTTCGGGCTAGCGGAGAGCCCGCCAGGGGCACTCGCATTGATTGCCCGCGGTTGTTTGCACATGATGTCTCTGCACTTGGAACTCACAGGCTTGCCCTGGCGGAGTGCGCGGATAGAGCATCGGAAAGGGGGAGGGAGAAGCAGAAGGATCAGGAGATTGGGGCGAACAGGAGGTGAGGGGAGAAGCGGGTGGAGAGAAGGTGGAGGAGTTGGTCGATGACAAAACGACTGCATTAGCAGAATCAGTTCGAAGATACACTCGGATTCTTTGGGTCGGTGCTGTACCCCCTCCTCATACGCTATGCCTGGCGCGCGAACACTCGACCATCAGTTGCCAAAGTTTGTTGGGTCTTACAATGCTGTGATAGCAGGCCATCGCGGAAGCTTCCTGCTCATTATTTCCATTCCGTGTATCCTCCCACAAGAACAGTTTGTTCTAGGCAGATTTGTTTTGACCAGAGATGTGAGCGCGCGCGCACTGACGCACGGTCTTCGTTGTCGCCGCCGCCGTCGACCACGATTGAAACAGTCTTGAGAGGTAATTGAGCAAGGGTTTGGTGGGACGGTTGTCTCCTGCTGATGTCCCTCTCCTTCCGCAGCCGACGGCTCGCTGCGGTCAGGCATCATTACGTTGTTGTTCTTGGTCATCCCAGAGCAGCACCTGAAAACCGTATGATCGTCGATGTTCAGCGTTTCGACGAAGGTGTTTCGCGGGAGCGCGGAGCAGTGCACCGCTTGCTCATGGGGGCGAAAACCCCGAGGCTACACGACACGCCCTCGTGGGCGGAGTTAGCGATCCCCATCGCCATATCGTCGCCCAGTGCGAGATCATTCAGGCACGGGGAACACATCGAGCCCTTCCGGCTGGGGTCGCCATGCTCTGAACGCCTAAAGTCGGCAGGAAGGAGGCCGAACTCGCAGCGCGTTCCGCTTGGCACGGGCCGGTGAAACCTTGAAGGTGTAGAAGAATTCGCGCAAGTCATCGCATGACTCAGCCAGCCATCTGCCTGGAGCAAGGCTCATGCGACACAGCAGGGAGCCTTGTCCCAGTCCACCACCGTGGGATGAAGGACCAGGCGATCGAAGTCGCTGACCTTGGGGACCCTGAGCGCGGCGCGCGCCTCGCCCCAGCAGAGGTCCGAAGAGGAAGTCTGATACAGGGCGCCGCAAGAGGGCACGCGGGCAGCACTGAGAGCACAAGGCGTGCAACCCGAATACACTGCAGGATTCCAGCAGGTCTACGAGGGACAGACAGCGACCTCGAAGACACGTCAACAGCAGTACCCTCAGCCTCCTGCGGGGCACGAAGCATGGCGACACCCTTGGCTCCCGACTGTTCAACGCTCTCCTTGCAGCACATCCTTGACCCGTTGGTCTCCGAATGAAGGCCGTTGAATTAGGATTCGCGGGCACAGCCACGCTTTAACAACCTACGCTTCGCCGACGACCTGCTCCTGACCGGCCAAACTCTCCCGCGTCGGATTACGATGCGTGACAACATTGCGCGCGGAGCAAAGCCGCACGGGCTCGAACTACACCCGGGCAAAACAAACAATGAAAGCAACCAGACGGGAAGGACACGGAAGACGAGCTCACGCATAGCACGTATCCAAGACATGGACACGTACATTGCATACGAGGACAAACTCAAATACGGCGGGGGCGTTGGTTAAGGAATATGCCCAGGAGCCTTCAGACCCTGGGGGCTTCCTTTTCTAATAAGGGCGGCGGTGATACAGGCCTCGGAAAAAAATAGCGAACACTCATGCCACATTCATCTGTGAACGCCTCCCCCTTCCCCAATGTTCAAAGTTGGCGGTGGGTCTGATGAGTTGCACCTCGACCGCAGTCTCCCCCGCGAGTGCCAACCTTGAGGTTGGGGGGCAGAGGGGGTGTTCACTAATTGTTTCCTCTACCGTATCCATGGCTAATCCACGATCGAAATTCCACTGGCTTCAAGACCCTGGATTCCTTATCCATAGGTTCTGGAGCCAATGCCCTCACCGTACCTCGGCCAACAGATCAACTCCCACGAGCCGATGGACACGGAAATCCACCACCGCACGAGAGGTACACGGGCATCTTTCACTTCTCGCAAAGAAGAGTGGACCAGCAAGTGCCAGCCTCTGGCTCACCGGCTCCGGATATTCAATAGCACGGCAACGCCGACAGCGTGGTGCGATGCAGAGACGTGCACGCTCATGGAACCCCTTTCCGGCAGCATTTACGATGGAGAACGACGCATGCTTCGCATGATCATCAGAGCGCCGCGGCGACACACAGCATAACAAGCAGGCTTCCACGGCAGCCAGAGACCGATTGCTCCCGACACCACAGACAACGAGACACCAGACAACGGCCACAGCACCCACAGCACTAGCGACGTCGCATACAGCAGCCCATTTCAGCGCGAAGCACTGGCCACGCTCGACATGCGCAGCGAAAGCGGCGAAGACAGCACAACTTCAGACCTGTTGTAACCCTGGGCAGAACACGTTCAGCGGCGGGCGATACGACGCGCAAAGCACCTTCTGAAGGTTCACCGCGCCGCCAAGTGGATGACGGTGCACAAGCGAAAGAAAGGCGCATTGCTTCATGAGTCGCAAACCACGACCGAACGAGGTGGACATGGTAAGTGCTACGATGGCAACCGTACCTCAACCGACGCCAGCAGGGACGGAGGCAGCACGGTGGCCAACGCAAGCGTTGGGACGACGAAATCAATGTCGACCTACGCCAACGCAGACCAGACCCCCGCCGACCATCCACACATACCCAATCGAGAGGACAACCAAACGACATCACATGGACGCAAACAGCCCAAGACACCGGAACATGGATGGCGCTCGAGCATCATTACACCGACCGCACATCATAAAACAACCAGCACAAAGACCCATAAAGTGAACGCCCAGAGAAAGCGGAGACGACACGCCCAGCCCGCGTCGACACCGACACCACGGATTTCTACTTCTTCTTCCTCCACCTCCTCTCCAACCCTGTTATGTGTTTAGCATTGCATGTATCCAGACAAGCCAGATACTCGAGGCCACGGCCTCACCCACCTGGCCTGAGCTAGGCCTGGACACTGTCCACAACGGTGGTCGCATCGCATCGCACCCCAACGAGGCTTCCATGACGACCCCGTGGCCAGTTCGGTTCAAGCCAGTTTGGCTGAAGCCATGCGGGACCAAGCACCATCATAGTATCCTGACTTTGGTGCTTTTTCTCATGGCTCGCAATTCACACCTGCAGCCACCAGTATGGTGTAACAGTTCGCGGTGTTTTTTCATGTGCGCCCGCGCGTAACTGTGCCCTCGCGGAGCCTGCGGCGCAGTGGGGGGGACGAGTCCAGTGGCCTTTTAGATTCACCTCTCAGCTACCCGCCGCGCTGGCTGTGCCAAGCGCCCGTCGCAACTCCCGGTCCCATGCGACATCGTACAAACCGCCGCGCGCAAATGTTCGCACATCCGCCTCTTCCTTTCGGAGAGCTGAGCGGTGAGATGGGATTGAACTTCTCCTGCGCTGGCCATGGTGAGGAGGAGGATGAGGCGGGTGTGGTGGCGGACCATCTCCGAGCCTTGCATTGCCGTTCCCCGTGAGGGTCCTGGAGCTTCGGTGTTGACGCCTAGAGTGGCGTCCCATGACCTCGGCTAGGGCTCGGAAACTCGTTCGGCAGCAGGCATCTTAAGGGGAAACTTCAAGATGGCGGAGGGTGGCTGCCATACGCCTGCAGGGGTTCCGAAGCAGTGGTTCTGCAAAAAGCGCATCGGGGGGATATAAGAGCGAGGCTGATAACGCGAATGATGAGGAGTGGCATCATTTAGAGTTGCGAGCAGCCTGGAGGTTTCAGAGATCGACGCAGGCTTTTAATTTACACGGCACGCTTCCCTTTCGCAGGTGCGAATAACATGTGGGAAGTGAGGGTGCGTGGGCAGGAGGACATTGCAACGGCAATGCACGGAACGACCAGGACAGGACATCTCCTTCGTGTTCTTTTTCTCTCTGTCCTCTCTCTCTCTCTCATTTGTGCCCTCTTCCATCGTTGTTTTGCTTCGCGTGTCCGAGCGATCATCATGGCATTTGGAGCTGTCCTTTTTTGCCTTACGCTGGATTCCTAGCCATGTATCTGTTTCCCGATGCGCAATATTCCGAGGCAGCCCTCATTACTTGCAGCCCAGCTTACGATTTTTGCCGAAGACGCTTGCAGAACCTGCGCGAAGGTTTCGAAGTCAGTCGCGTGTGATTATGCGGTTTAGTACGTTACCAACGTGATTGTGAATGATCGGTGCATTTGTTCTTATGCTTAGTCTGTCCGCATGGTGCCGATTTGCCACGTGCGCACGTTAGCTGTTTGCGTTATGCTTGTATGTGGTTGGGCCCGCACGTATGCCATGTCTGTACACCCACATTCGTATGACGCAAAATAGGTATGAATGGCGTTAGCATGTGCCATTGCCATGTCGGCATCATTGGTGTGAGTTCCAGGTGCATGGTATGAATGCTCGTAATGATTATGTGTGCGCGATGTACGTACGTGCCCTGTGTCCTGATGGATGACCTCAATACCCGGTACTTGCATACGTTATTACCGTGTGTTTGATGATTATTCCCTACCCAGGCTCTGCCTAGAAGGGTTCTTATTTTATTAGCTTAAAGGGGCCGGGCAGTGTTTCACGCCCCGGGCGGTTCCCCCAGGATCCGCCCCGCGGTTCCCCCAGTTGCGCCCCCTGGGTTCACCCAGCTTAGCTTAGCTTAGCTTAATTTAGCTTAGCTTTGTCTGGCCTAGCTTAGCTTAGCATAGCTTAGCTTAGCTTACCTTAGCCTAGCTTAGCGCAGCAGCAAAAGCAAACAGCAACAGCAAAAGCAAAAGCAAAAACAAAGGCACAGGCAAAAGCAAAGGCAAGAGCAAAAGCAAAGGACATGCAAAGCAAAAGCAACACCAATGCGAAAGTGTAGATGTATATGTAGATGTAGCTGTAGGTGTAGGTGTAGATGTGGATGTAGGTGTAGATGTATATGTAGATGTAGATGTAGGTGTAGATGTAGGTGTAGATGTAGATGTAGATGTGAGTCTCGCTGTTGATGTTGATGTAGATGTAGATGCAGGTGTAGATGTAAATGTAGCTGTCGGTGTAGATGTAGATGTTGCTTTCCTAAATGCTCCAACTCCTAGGTAGGGTCGCACTGGGATAATGTTTGTATGTAAGGTGGTTGTTGTTAATGATGTGGGGTATTCAGTGATGTTATAGATATATGTTACTGATGGTTGGTACTGGTGCCTGCTCTTGGAGTATGTTGTTTGTGTGCGCCTCTGATTTGCGTATGTTTGTTTTGACTTCGCGTGGTTGGGGCTCTGCTGCAACACGATACTTTTGCGTAGCAGTGATGGGTATCATCTGTGCGTGGCGCTGATGTGTAGCAATGATGTGCGTTCTTGGTGTACGGTCTGGGTATACGGTCGCGGTGCAGGTTCTCGCTGTCTGTAGTTGATGCATTGTTTGGTGTATACTGGTGATGTGTGCCATTGCCGTTTGCTCGTGCTTTCCATCCTTGACTCCTGTTAGTGGCGTGTGTCGCCAATGTGTGTTGTTATTGTATGTCGTTCGTGGACATTCGTGATGCGTGACATCGGTGTATAACAGTGATGTGCATTGTTAGCCGATGTGCTCAGGCTACTTCATGGGTACGTGCGGTAAACCTGTGTTATTGGTACTTGCTCCTGGTGACTGTCCTGAATGTATGTTCTGAACGTGTGCTCGTGATGCGTGCGACGTGTGCTTGGGATTGGTGCTTGTTTTTGACGCATGATTTTAGTCCGTGGCACCGATGGAAGTGTAGCGCCTATGGGTGAAGCATGCCATTGGCGCGTGCGTTATTGCAGTATGTTGTTGATGTATGCCCCGGGTAGGGTCTGTGGTTGAGACATGTTA